AGAAAAAAAACGTTAAGAATCAAGGAGTCCAATGTTGTGTCTAGAGAGTCGAATTGGGATATCATCATGGGGTTCTCTTTTTAAGTTCTTTAAATTTAAATTGTATATATATGTCATAGTTTTGTGATTAATAACATGGTCTATAAAAAAAGTAAGGCTCATGGTGAGCCGTTTTATCCCATGGGTTGGTTAATTTGTATGCATGTGATTATTTTTAATGTAGAGTAAGTGTTATTTATTGGTAATGATATGTGGTTGTTATTGAGTTATATCTATCGTTTATGATAAATATCATATCCCAAATTTGGGCATTATAGTGTTATATTTGGCAAATAATTGTACTAGACAAATCGAATCCTACTTTTGCCTTCATCTAGTTTGGGATTGAGTATCCCTTTGTTTCCTTTGTAGAAAACAAAATGGATAATTTATTGTGGGCATTTTTTTTATTTGGCTTTAAGTATCACATTCAAACTTATACTTTATTAAGTACTTTTTTTTCATTAAATAGTTGTCAATAAGTACACATTTTAAAATATTTTAAATTCTTTTTGAAATGTATTCCATAATTACCCTTATTATAAATATTGTCTATCATTTTTAGTTTTAATGTTTTCAAGTATAACAACTCATAACTTGAAAATTTGTGCTAGCATTAAAATTATATATATATATATTAACATTAAACAGTAACACGCTCAACAAAAAAACAGTAACATACTCAACAAAAAAATAGTAACATAAAAAAGTACCATCCTCAATAAAAAAACTTTATTAAAAATCTAATTAATTGCAATAAAGTGACACCATATGTGAATATTTATTCTTTTGTGGGGGTGTTACTCTATTGTAATGATAATGATTAAATTTTAATTAAGTTTTTATTGAACATGTTATTGTTTGATGTTACTATTTTTTTGTTAAGTGTGTTACTTTTTAATGTTATATATATGATAGAAACATAGTTTTAATTCTAGCACAATTTTCAAGTTAGGAGTTGTTAATATTAATACAATTCCGAAGTAAAAAGTTGTTAGTTTTTTCAAACAATTTTTGATTAAATATAACTATTGAGAGTATTTTGGACAATGAAGATCAAAATAAATTTATTCTCAAACAAGTTTTTGAGTGTACTTAAGTCCAAATAATTCTAAAAAAAAGAGCCTAGCCTCCAAAGGACCAAAAAAAAAGAAATGAGAATTACTCGTCATGAGAATATTATTAGGCTTCGGTGCAACTAATATAGAGGATGATATTTTGCTAAAATATAAGGACAAGGAATAAATCAACATTGACTTTTAATATTGATTTACCCATTAAATCTAAAGTCTGCAGAGCATAATGTGTGAGATGGAGACACAGAATTTTCTTGTTAAAATGTCAACGGAGCTGGAGCTAAGTTTTTATAAGATAAAATAATACAATATAATTCTGACACAAAATTGATTAATTCCCAACACAACTAGAAAATAGCATAATTCACAGAAACCAATAAAAAATCAGTCTATTTAGTATAATATGAAGAACTTCAGTTTGATATGACAACCAAAATTAACTATTGTATTATGATAAAAATAGCTGATTTTTTTTTTTTAATTTCTTATGTCCTGCTTTAGGTTGTATGAATGCTCATAGAATGAAACATTTTTATTTGTTTTTACTAGTATCTGTATTGAATAGTCTTTTAGTTTATGAGGGATTCATTGCTATGGGTATGTTTGAGAACATGGGATTCTTATTCCCGATTCACGGGTTATGCCAGTTTATCGAGATGTGTTAGTTAGTAAATAGATTAGTTAGTGTCAAATTGCCTAATATGGTTAGTTATATGAATTTATTTAGGATTAATTAATATTCATCATGATCAAATATGATCTAAAATTACAAGAATCAAAGAGCATCACAGCTTACAAGAAACAAACATGTCAAAAAATTATAAAAATCATCAGCAATGAACATGAATTTTGGCTTTAATCCTTCAAGAAGCCATAAATCCACCTTCCATCTTCAACACCAGTAGCTTCGTCTTCCTTAGAATAGGCAGTGGACTCTGATCTTAGTTAGTGTCAAATTATCTAATATGATTAGTTATATGAATTTATTTAGGATTAATTAATATTCATCATGATCAAATATGATCTAACACAATTTGACTGACATCTCTACCTAATTGTATATGGAAGTTATTTTTTTCATCGAGTGAGGTGTCACCTGAAAAGAAAGGACAAAATTGGAATGGACTATACCTAGTTGTGCCTTCCCTCAGGTGCGTGCATTTGGACTGTGCTACAACTAGGTAGGGAAGTACCATATGTAACAAACAACTAGGAGAAAAGTACAAGGTCGCACTAACATGGAGTTCATGGCTTAGAGTTTTCATAGAAATTCAATTGCATCATGACCGTCCCTAACTGGGAATTCAGAATTGGTTTCTCTGAAACTTTATCTCTGTCGTGTCATAGAAGTAACCTAAAAACGCTTCCATCTAGGAATTCAAATTTGGTGCAGATCTCACAGCCTTGTGTGACGTCTTTTTTCTGTTTTTTTTTTTTGCCCCATGCCTTGTCTTACTTCAATCACAGAATTTTGATATTATTGCCAATTATTTATTTTAATAGCAACTAAGAGTCCAACTTATACCACCTTATCTGAAAAAAACCTAAACCTACTTATATTGCTCAACATTTAATTTTATATCCGAGGACCATTTCCACCACAAATTTTTTTGACTTGTGACTCAATTGTGAGTTTAAAATGAACATAATTAGCCAAAAGCAACGTACATCGGGTTAAAAAAGAGTCTCTTGTTAGGCTTAAAAACTTGAAATAATAACTGTTGCGGTTTTTTCATTCAAATTTTTTTTGATGAATTTGCCTTCAATTTATTTCTATTGTAGTTCAGAAATAACTTTTCAATTTATTAAAATATTAAGACACTAAACAATATCCAAAAATTAATTATTTGTATTGAAATGTATCAAACTCCATCATCATACCTCAAATGAAGGCCACCTAAGTTCGATACCAAGATTGCAAACATCTACACGAACTTTCGAGGAAACTCCATATTTCGTAGATTAGTATTTGACCAGTTTTTCTTTTCTCTAATTTAATGTTGTGGAAAGCAACATTTTGTCTTTTTGTCATTTTTTTTTTCTTCTAATCAGTCTGAGTAGTCAGATTTTTCAACGTCTACTGTGATTGGTGCTTAGGATATATGTTACGAGTTCGGCTTGTTTTCGTGAGTTGACAAATATAAATTAAGGACAAATGAGGAAACATTTATGTTTTATTGTTGGGAGTTTTGTTTTTAAGAATTTTCAGGATATGTCCTGTAAGTACCGAAGTTGTTATAAGCAGGAATTTTGTTGATTTGTCCTGCAAGTATCGAAGGTGTTATAAGTCGGAAGTTTTTGGATATGTCCTATAAGTAAGGAAGTTATTATTAGCCAGAATTTTCAATTGTTCGTAGGATGTTATGAGTACTGAACGTCCATCAGATAATTATGAACTGATGCAGCTGACTTGTGGATGTATAGATAAATTAGGTTTTTACTTTGTGGTTGTACCGAGGTCTGGCTTACGCTAGGAGCGGGTAGGCAAATATTATTCTCTTCTGCTTTTCATAAAATCTATCTTACTTAGTTCTCAATGATGTATTGCATTCAGTGATACAAAATAAGCTCTTCGCCAATGAAACAAGAAAACAAACGCGAGATATGAGTATAATACGATGCGAATATGACGATATAATACAATTTTAAAAAATAGGATACAAATACAATTAAGATACGTCTATAACAAATTATATTTTCTACTTTAACTATTATCTTTCTAATTAGTAATTAATAATTGATAAGCAAAATTGACAAAAAAAAAATTTAGTTTCAAAAGCATATATATTTTTGTATTTTTATGGTATATTTACCAAGTGAGGTGACCAATTAAAATAATCAAAACTAATATTTGTTGAGTTATTTTGCTTAGAATTATTTGTTCTTTAGAATATAATTTAATAGATTTATCTTATGTTTTTTTGACATTTAACATTGGATAAAACTTATAAAAACAACTCATGTGTCTTCAATGTTGTGTGAATTTTTGTTGATATATGGTATATGTGAATTGAAAATGAAAACTTAAGATTAAATTCAAAAATTATACATATTGCTCTGATACAAAACTATTCATAAAGTATTAATTATTTTGTTGTTATCCGATACGTAAGTAGTATATCTGATACATATCCTCAAATATCCAATAAATATCGTACTTGACACTATATACAATACGAGCACTTTGACCTTAACTAAGTATTATTATTTAATAGTTTTCAAAAATTGGGTTTGCTTGTCAGTTACACTACGTTTGGCACGCAGTAATATTTTTCAGTAGGAATGGAATGAGTTTAGGAATCAAATAAACTTGTGAATGAAATGGAATGTGCATTACTATTCCAATGTTTGCCAGTTGTTGAGCATTAAGTGCTGGAATGAACTGTTCATTTAATTTTTTATGTTTGGATAAAATAAATTTTTCATTGGAATGAAATCAACAATAGCCAAAATATCCACAGTGACTAAAAATAATTAAGTAGCAATTAATATTTTTTTTATGATTGCGATTGCCTTTAAAAGTTGTGTAAAAAAATTTATAATTAGAAAAATTGAGAATCCATTGAAAAAAATTAAACCCCTATAAATTTTAAAAAATTAGAAAACAAATTCCTTCAACAATAGGTTCATAAAAAGAAATCAAAATAAAAAATTATTATCTTTTTTTTTTAAGAAAAGGAAAATTTTAATGATTGAATCAAGAAATTACAAGAATCAAAGAATTACAAGAATTCTAAACACATTCAATAAACTTCTTTTTTTTAAAGAAAGAAATTTATTGATATGAATAAAAAAATTATAAGAATCAAAGAGCATCACAGCTTACAAGAAACAAACATGACAAAAAATTACAAAAATCATCTACAATGAACATGAAATTTGGCTTTAATCCTTCAAGAAGCCATAAATCCACCTTCCATCTTCAACACCAGTAGCTTCTTCTTCCTCAGAATTGGCAATGAACTCTGATCTTAGTGTAGCACCAACTTCCCAGCCATAGGTAATGACTAGAGGCAGCAAAGTCAACACAGCCACCTATTCGAACAACATCAGAAGCCAGAAAATCATCAAGAGCATTAGCTTCCCTATATATATGTCGAATCCTCACATTAACTCTCTTAAACAAACTCAAAATTTGATCTAAAATAGGTTTACACCTCCAAGGAATAGTTGCCTTTCCCAAAACCATCTGTACAACCACTTGCGAATCAGATTTAATGAACATCTGATAATCCTCCAGGCTGTATTGCAGGGCCAAATTAATACCATCCAACAAAGCTTTTGCACTTCGCTTGCATATTCGAACCTCTGTTATAAAATGCAGCTGTAGCTGCAACAACATTACCTTCTGGGTTTCTAATAACCATACCACCTCTTAAAATTCCAGTTAAACCCTTAGTAGCACCATTGACATTGCGCCTCAAAGTACCAACAAGGGGGAGGCTCCCACTTGATCCACATAGCCTTCGTCATAACAACATGTGCAGAACTAATTCTCAGATCAGTAAGCATCTCCTTCCCTTTGAAATCATCAGCACTCTTAGGCTTAATAGAGAGAGCCTAAAAGCGAAGAGCACTTGGAACCTGCCTAAACACAACATAAGAATTCAAATGTCCCTCATCATGTCTCCTTCTACACCTTTCTTTCCACAAGGCCCAAAACAATAACAGAGATAGTCTTCTGATAAGACCATGACTCAATGATTGAGATTTAAAAATCCCATTAAGCCTCAGAAATCTTGATATAGGAGACTCTCCATCAATTAACTCAAACCCCATTACACTAGCTAACCTTACCCATACTACCTTAGCAAAATTACAATCATTAAAGATATGAGCAAAATTCTCTTCCTCTTCCAAGTAGAGATTGCATCTGCTTACTAAAGAAACTCCCAAATTGCGCACCCTAGAATCAATAGGCATAGCAACCCTGAGAATCTTCTAACCACATAGTTGTGCACTTGGAGAAACCTTCTGAACCCAGATACATTTAGCTGCCACACACTGCACACCCTGCATTCTTACTTGGGACCAAGCAGATTTCACAGAAAACAAGGAATTAAACCTTTTTAAAACACCTTTGGGAAAATTCATACAAGCCAACATATAGATGGGAATGGCATTCAAGACAGATTGCACCATTACTACTCTGCCCATGCCAGACAATAATTTGGCATACCAACCCTCAATCTTGCTTCTAAAAGTCCTAACAATATGTTTTTTCTTAATCTGCATCTCCTCTACATATGTTTTTCCTTAATCTTTCATGGTAATTCTTGCACCATAAAAAGTACAACCCACTACAGGGAGTTTTTTCCATAATGCTCAATTCACAGCATAGAAAATCAGGTCCAAACTAATTCAACTAATACAACATTGGAACGAATGAGGTTAGCCTCAACTATAGTTACAAATTATAAACAAATAAATATATAAGACAACTTTACAACCACTTTCTCATTTTTATTAGGAATATCATCAAACGGGTTTTGTGCATCACTGCATCCAAATATATATGACTGTAAAGATAAACTAAACTATATGAAAACACAAAGAAAGGACGGAAAAAAAATTCCAATCCTTCTCACCTAATATGATTATCAAGTGAAGTACAAACACACACACTCAAACACAAAGGACCACACAGGGAAGGGTTGCATCTGAGAATTATATCTTTGGAAAAAGCTAGCAAAAAGATAGAAATTCAAGATTTTTTTTGGTAGTTAGATCTGAGAATTATCAATTGAATTTAGCAAAAATTACCTGAAATTACATCATATCAGAGCTATTATAATCTGGTCTTGATCTCCAATAGTAGCCCGTGCTTCATACAGAGATGATAAAAGGCAGAAGTTGGTAGAGGTGAAGAGAGAAGGGCTAAAATGCCATGGGTGTTGACGATAGAAGGGGAGAATCGAGAGAGAGAGAGAGAGAGTCTCTATGCATGTAATGAAGCTGTAAGAAGAATTGGGAAGATAAAATACCTTTTTTCGCGAATGGATTTGGTGTAGACTAGGGTGAGAATGGAATGAGAAATACCATGGTAAATTTAGGAATGACTAAACTCATTATTTGTAGGATTAGCTATTCTTTAGGAATAGGAATGAATTCTCATTCCTGTCAACCAAACGTAGGAATAACATTGCCAAGGAATGCGTATTTTATTCCTAGGACTTAATCCTGTGTACTTAACACACTGTTAAAATATGAAGACAAGAAACATTCTAATTGTTTGTTTTGATTGTTGGGTGATGGAGATTTGAGTTGATCTATAATATTCACCTTTTAATAACCCTCTTCTTTTATTTTGGGAAGTAGTAACCCTATGCTTGCCACTTGCACAAGACACTAGTTAATAAGTCAAAAAAGTTACACAAACTACACAATTGTTGATTAATTTTCCATATTTTTGTAAGATGAGTAATTTCTTTGCACGAATCAATGTTGTTGTAACACCCCAAAACACACCCTAGACGACATTACATTCTAAAATCATTCATATCATGAGAGCACTAATATAATCCCTTAAGAAACAAGACTTCATTTGTCATCCACGAATATTTACAACATTATCCAAAATAATAAGCCCAAGTCATGACTATTACATCTCAAAAATTAATTAAAGAAGCGCAGCGGAATAAACACAAGAAGCTAGACTACACAATATTCTAAAAGAATGTCCTAGTCTAGTACAAAAGGAAAGGAGGTCGCTCTATGCGTCCACCTCGGGATCCACACTCCCGTCCAGTGGAGTCTCCCAAGTAGTGGGCTCCTCGACCCTTACGTCATCCTGCTCAAGCGGGTAATCTGAAAAATGTTAGCGATAGGGGTGAGCACAAAGCTTTATAGAAAAATTCTCTTAAACCCATACAAGGTTTAAAAAAATATTTAAAACGGGCGGTCTCAATTTTAACATAACATAGATACATAATTTGAAATAAAGCAGTGACATTTAAAAAGGATCTCAAGTTTATTTAACAATATTACTTAAATGAATAAACGAGCATCACATACAAATAATAACCATTAATTGCCATAACCAATTTCTAACAATTCTTTCGGTAGGTGGCATACTTTGTGATAACCTCCACCCCCATTTAGGTCACCTTTGATTCTCAAACATCCTTACCGGGAACCTCTTGAGAATGGATGAGTATCCTTACATGGAACCTCTCACCAATTACTATATTGCTTCCCAAGCATCCTTACCGGGAACCTCTTGGGAAGGGGTGAGCATCCTTACAAGGAACCTCTCACTCATGTACATCACAACTAACCCAACCAAGGATACAATTTCAACATTTATCTCAATTTACAAACATCTATCCAAAATTCCCAAAATATATCATGTAACAATTACACAACCAACTAAAAAAATACATGAGATCACAATAACATCATTTTTCTACCCAACACAAAGCACTAAGATTTCAAAATCCATGATAACGAAAGCATTTCGGAAGAAAATACACCACTCTCCAAAAATTAGGGTTTTAAAACTAGAAAGAAGATTTCATAGGTATTAAACCCTATTTTGATCAAAATATGTAATCCTTGCAAAAAGCCTAAGAGAGTATGATTCCATAGCATATATATATACCATTGATAGCCAAAACATACATATATAAATACCCTAGCCTCAATGTAAATGAATGAAAGAAAACCCCTACTTTGAATCCTTAGTTTGTAGGAATAACTTAAGTTTTGATCTTGAATCTACCCTTAAATCTCTTATTTTTCCCTTCCTTTCTTCCTCTCTAATGCTTTTAGGTTTCCAAGAGGTGTGGGGTGAGAGTGGAGTGAAAGAAATGAGGACAAATGGGATGAAAATGGGGTTTAAAATACCTCAGCCCCGAAATTCACTGTTCACAGCCTGTTTTGATTTTCTCCAAAATTACGGTTTTGCCACTAAGAATCTCCAATTTGATCTATATGACTACCCTAAAGTTTTTTGATATTTCGGATTCATTTTTAAAGTTATTTTAACCTAAAAAAATTTATTTTTATGATTTATCTCAAAACCAAAGTTAACGTACACCCGAAACACTAAAGTTTCTATTTTATCCATCCGAACCGGCTATTAATGAAGTTTTGCATTGTTTGTAAATAAAAGGTGATAAAGGGTGTTTCTTAAAACCTTTTATACTTATTTGAAGCCTAAATGTACTTATTATTCTTATATTTTGATTTATGATGCAAATGGAGACGTTAAATGCAAAACAAAGCTAATTGGACTATTTTGACATCGCTTCGTTATATGGGCATAACTCTCTCATCCGAGCTCCGATTGAGATGATTAAAGATGCTATGGAATGATACGAAAGAGGTATAAAGCTTTCATGTTTTGAGTTATGAGAGATATTGACTGCATCAAGGTCTAAATCGGGCTTGAAGTTACATCCAGTGCACTGTTCACGTGCACTGTTCAAGCTAATTGGGCTGTTTTGACATCACTTCGTTATCTGGGCATACCTCTCTCATCCGAGCTCCGATTGAGATGATTCAAGATACTATGGAATGCTAAGAAAGAGCTCTACAACTTTCATGTTTTGAGTTTTGAGAGATATTGACTTCAAGGTCAACATCGCACTTGAAGTTGCAGCCAGTGCACTGTTCACGTCCTGTTTCATCCCTTTTCCATTTCCAATCCATTCCTAAGCCAACCAAATCCATCTCAAACCTTTCCAACACATATTTCTACACCAAACCTATTTAATACAATTTAATGGACCTAAAATTTCATATTTTCACTTATTAAAATCAAATTTCAACTATTATTTTCATTAACATTTTAAATCTCTACTTTTCCAATCTACCAAATTCAAACACACATCACTACACATATCCACAGTTTTACCACAATTATTTACTATATATCTATATACATATAAAAGAAAATGTGGGGTGTTACAGTTGTTGATCCCAAAAAATTGTTCATCGTGCTAATTGACCGAAATGATGATCTGGCACAGGTGTATTCCTGCATGGAAGTAGAGGACTGGTGGGGCTCCAATGGTTAGCCCTCCAATGATAAAGTCAGAAAGGGAATGATAGAAAGAAACTGTATTTAGCTAGGATTCTTTCACATAGCTCGATAATGCTCAGTTTAGCTTTTTTATAGATCAAAAGATTGGACCGTTGAAGACCTTTAGCTACCATTTGAATTTGGTGGCACCAGAAGTGGAATTGATGGAGGCGTTTGTTTGACGTAAATATCTGAACTAGTTTGAATCAAGCAAGAGGAGCGAGCTAAGATAAGACCAACCTAAGATTCTAACGTGCGAGGAACTGAGGTCCTTTCTAAGCCTTTGAGCTATTCTATTGAGCAGCTGAGCTCATGTGCTAAGCTTGTGCCCAATTTATCATTATCAGTTGCCCCCTAATTCAAACCAATGAGTTGTATGTGCCATGAATTTAATGCATTCGTCTGTTACTGCCTAGAAAAGCGAGAATGATGGTTGTGTTTACACTACCTCTAGAGAGCCGTCATAGGACCTATGCCTAAAAACCTTATTTCCCTCTTTTATCGAGCATATCTTTGAGAGCCTTAATAAGTCTAGTATGACCTTTCCTATTCTTATTTATCTCTTTTTCTTTGTTTGTTTCATTGTAACTCCTCACCCTGGAGCATGTAGGTTGGAGCCACATCTTTCAGTTTCATCTTTATCGCTTTTACTCTCTTTAATGGAAGGACGCCAATCCTAACCAACTTGAATCTTTCATGGATAGGCCTGTTTGAGCTCGGTTAGAATTTGTGCTTCTATTTGATCGTTAGCAGCCCAAATCGTCCCCTTCCACCAAATTTATACATCAATCATAATACTTTTTCTACTATGTCAATTGATTTTGAGAACCCGCCTCTCGGAAGTATTTTGGCATTAGTGGCCTAACTTGATACAACAAATGAGAATTCTAACTCCATT